TATCAATGTTCATCGCGCATATTTGGAGGGCAGGATTCCTCACGCTCCGGTTCGAGAGAGAAGAATCCTCATTGATTACGATGAAGAAGTTTTAACAGAAATTGAAAAAGATCCGACTACTTCGGCGCGAACAATAGAAAAACGAACAGGGATACCCAAATCGACAGTAAACGAGATCACTAGGAGATATCAATATCACCCATATCACGTGCAACGTGTACAAGCCCTGCTGCCTCGGAACTACGAACAACGCGTACGGTTTTGCCGCAGAATGTTGCAAAAAAATAGAGAGGACCCGAACTTTATAAATAATGTACTGTGGTCGGATGAGAGTACATTTAATAAGAATGGCTCTATGAACATGCACAATTTGCATTCTTACGAGTATGCGTTGGAAAATCCCCAATCCATTCGAGAACAAAGGTCCCAATACCGTTTCAAAGTAAACCTGTGGACTGGTATCCTAAACGGACATTTAATTGGTCCATTTGAATTACCAGAAAATCTAAACTGGCAAGCTTTTTTACATTTTTGTCAAACCCACTTACCGCTTCTTTTGGAAGATGTTCCTTTGGTCGCACGCCGAAGAATGTGATTTCAATATGATGGCTGCCCGGCACATTATGCACATTAAGTTCGTGCGCATTTATATCAAACCTACCCCCACAGATGGATCGGCCGACTTGGTCCAATTTTATGCCCTCCCCAGATCTCCAGTCCTAAACCCCCTAGATTTTTTTACTGGGGCATTTTTAAAAAGATGCTGCGCCTGCATTCGCATTGGTGGTGGTCACTTTGAACATATTGTTTGATTTTATTTTTCTTAAGTTAAATACATTTTTATTAACATGATTTAAATTTGTTTAATTTTTAAAATGTTCTCATAGAGTAAATTAGATATATCCTTCACTGTAAGTCAATAACAGTATAGTATATTGTTTCACGAGTGACGAAAAAATGATTTTCGACGAGTAAAACACTATACTTTTTCTACGAACTCTATTATGTCATGTAGGTACCTACTAAAATGAAAAAAAAAAAAAACAAACGTTAGCAAATGCTTTATTTTGTGTTAGGAATAACAAAAAATTAACCAACAATTAAATATTTCAGAAATATTATTTATTATTTAAATATTGATTTATTGTTATATTTGAACAATTGTTCAAAATTATGGGGGTATCACACTCAAGCTTTTTATTTATTGAGGTAGATGCCGACATATTTGTTCTACTGATAAATGTCATTTCAGATGATGATGCGCCATAATCGGATGAACTAGTAGTTTCCTTATTTTGTACAGATTGTAAAATTTTGGTTTGTATTTGGTTTTTACTGTTCGTGGATTCATCAACATATCCTTCCGCAACACTACTAGATTTCCAACCACCGTGCTTTTTTAACAGAAGCAAGTCACCTCCTGCATCCACTAATACCGTTGCGGATGTTCTGCGGAAACAGTGCTCAGTGTAATCTTGAGGATTCGGAAGCGTTAAAAACTGAGCAATTTCGTTAGGAAATTTACTGATTTTATTAATTCCAACAACCTGTCTGCTACACTTTCCATTCTGATAGTTAATAAAGAATCTTGAATTAATTTGATCCATGTTTGCGGGACGTAGGCTCATATATTTTTTAGAAATATCATAAAAATGTCCAGAAATATGAAAAGAACGCGGAACTTTTGTTTTTGTATTACGGATTTTAACTAACAGAATACTTCCAGTATCCTTTACATCGCTTATTGTTAAATCTTTTAGTTCGTGGCAACGACAAGCGCCAGATAATCCAAAAACTAATGCTACCTACAAATATTAGTAGTTATGTATTAAGTATTTGTTAAAATAAAAATAATAATTCCGTTACCTTTGTTATTAAATATTTATAGTCAGGTGCATTCTTTAGGAAAGTCTTTATGTCTTCAGGCGAAAAAATTTTGGATTTTTGGCTTTTAAAACCATCAGATTTTCTTTTCCAAAGCGAACGTAACTTTGGATATTTACTAATATCGACATCATTTTTAACAGAGAGTGTAGTTCTTAGCATCGAATAAATGGACCATAACGTCGACGGTTTAAAATTTGAACATATTTCTCCAAAGTATGCTAGTAGTACAGTTTCCGAAAATGATTTCACTTTATTTTTTTCTGTCCAGTCCAAAAATTTTATATAAATTTCTTCATATCTCTTTTTTGATTTTGCCGGTAATTAATCTGAAGAGGTTTCTTCAGCTTTAAAAATAATTTCTGGGGGAGTACAATCGCTTTCTGACTCAGACATCATGAAAATGTGTTAAATTTAGGACGAACTGAAACTGACAGTTCTCAAAAGTGATAAAACTTCAAATAAACAAATGAAAACCAGGAAACTAGATGTAGATTGGTTTAATTTACACTATTTTTATACATTTTTATTTTATCTTTAATTCATTAAAGTTTAGGTAAAAACGCATATAGAATTTAATGAGCATCTTTTTATTTCATTATTAATAATTATAAGCTGCCAAAATATTATACGAGGCGACTGATATATGAAAATATGTAACAACTTACTTTCGTCACTAGAGACGAAAGTAAACGTTATGGGATTTTTCTCACTAGTGACGGAAATCAAGTTTTCGCTGAAAGTATCCTGTGGCGAAAGATGTCTTTTTGTAAGAGTTCGTAGAAAAAACTGTTTATTAGAACAATGGGTAGTTTTTAAAAGTATATTAAATGAGCAAACTTTTCAAATCACTAGCCAGGTTAGTGTATACCTTTTTTTGTATAGTATGAGGTGTTAAACTTGAGTGATGGAAAATAAAAATAAATTATTTCTTTGTAAAATAAGATTTCTTATTGAATATTTTGAACTTTTGGTTCAATGTTGGTCTTTGTTTAATGAAATGGCTATTCACAGTTGCAAAACCTAAATCAGAATCTAAGAATTATACATTTTTTAGGAATAACACTCGAAAATCCGATCTAAGGGGACGATTTTAACGAATTTTATTAAAGTGTTGGTCCATCACCCCTTTTAGTATTATCGTTAACTTTCCGTTTATATTATCATAATATATGGAGGTAGTAAGCATCTCAAATGCATTCGATGTGGATATTCAAATAAAGCAAATGTAATAGAATAAAATAAATCTAATATCTACTTAGAAACAAAATCACTTGGCCAATATTATAAATTGTATAAGCATTACAACAATAAATACATTATGGAAGATTCCTTCAAAGCCTTCAAATTTATTATTAGATTTATTTGTTTTTCACAACGTGTCCGTCTATAGAACAAGGGTATTGATCTTCCTGTGCATGATTTGATATAATCTGATCTAACTACTCCTTCATTTATCCTACGTTGTAATATTTCAATTGTGTACCTCAGCTTTATTACCAAGAAAGCCCTAATTTCTGAATTATCCGTCTGATTTATTCGAAAACTTACTTCCTCGAATAAAAACCGTTAAGTCGCTATGCTCAAACTTGGAGTGACCCGCCACGTAATAACAATAATTCTTGCCGGTCTGAGCACGACATGACCTATAATTGAAAACCCCGATATTATCTGATATCGATGATACGCCGTTCGTACATTTTACGGTGGCCGTGGAAAACACCTGCCTGTGCGTCGTCCGTGCACAGCCGCCTATGATATTTTGTATGTCACCGACTACTAGATGGATTATCACCGGATGCATGCTCGTTAACTCATTTGTTAAGAGATGTTTTACCGTCTTCAGAGATCATTATTCATGTGACAACTGAATTATATCTTCGGAGTATCACCTATATCGCATCTATTAGAAAATAATTCAGGGAGTTCATTGTCAAGGAGACTCGATGGGTTGGGTCTCAAGATTGAAATGTTAGAGTTATCTTTCGTCTTGAGATACAACAGTGGCAGAAAGAAAAAGAAAATGTTAAGAGAGCGTTAGTATGCTTTATTATTATAATTTCTTCTGATATGGAAAGTAAGATCCCTTCCATTAAAACAGAAATATGACTTCTGTGAAATCTGAAATTACTGCTGATGTTTCTTTTATAAAAAATAACATTTTCTCCTTAGAAGAAAAGGTGATACGTCTTCTGTGAAAAATTAATTCTTTTTTGTAAAATAAAGTCTCTTTTATTATCTTTTAAAATCATAAATGATCATTTACGAACGAGTCCCAAGGTTTTAGCCTTCAAAATATTGAGGTTTTGATCAAAGACGAACATGTCCACTGCTCAATTTCAATCAAAGACGAACATTTCCAAAGCCAAAGCAGCCAATGAGCGTTGAATATTGTAATCACGTGACTTCTGTCTTCACCTTCTCATATTAACCGTTTTAAAGCAAGGAACCAGAAATCACCATGGTTATACCCTTAGTTAACCTTGAAATCACGTGACTAAAGCCCTAAAAAGATAACCAGTTATTGTGACGCATTAACGTTCAATCAAGGAATATGACAAGAAATTTTGACATTTAATTTCTAGGTTAATTTTATGAAACTGGCCGGAATAAAATTGTGTGATGTTGATATGTTACCAAAAAGAATTATATTTGTGTAGACTGGATGTTACAATTTAATAAGGAACAGTTTGACATGGTGTCAGAAGCATTTTTTGATAATTTACGTAGCTAATGCCATTTCCAATTTTGACTGAGCTAATTCTATAATCTAACCAAAAAAACACTAATTGCATGTCACTTCCACTTGTTATTAATAACCCACATCCGCACTTACCGGTTAATTAATGACGTTTTAAAGGGCTTAAATATGACGTTATAGAAAGTAACCAAGAATAACAAACATCGCTTTAATTAAAACGGTAATAAAAATTACCGGTTGATCGCTTTAAAACGGTTATTATTTCATCCGTTTGACAGTTTCAGTACCAAAAATTATAAAATGTGACATTTTTTAATAATATTAATCATTAAGAATTAATAAGAAATAATATTGAAAGACTTTTAGACTTGAAGGTCAAACTTCTTTTTAAGTGAAATTTACAGTTTTTAATAATATGGAGGACACTGAGAATGCTGTGTCAGTATTGGTAAGAGATAGAAACATAGGTAGTAGAAAACGACAAAGTAAGGAAAGCAGAAGTTCTTTGAGGAAAAAGTAATTATATGCTAAACCTAGAACTTCGAATACTTTTATTCCTTGCACTCATCAAACAAAATCATTCCAATGTGTCAAGTTTACTCCACCTGATGCTTTAGAATTCAGGAATAGAATTTATAGTGTACCAGACAAAATTCGCCAAGAAAGGATGGTTTCAAACTTCTTGATACTTGCAAAAGTAGTTCGTCGTAGGCAACGCCCTAACCGGACGAAAGCAGCAAAGCCTAGATTATTTAATGTGAAATACGCTTTTCCACGTTGAAATGGCCAAACTATTTATGTCTGCAAGAATTTTTTTCTTCACAGAAGTTCAGATGAAATCTACACGCTTGAAGAGCCTTTGCAAAAAAAAATTTTGGTTATAAACATCACAGAAAACAGGGATGGTGTAAAAGCCACTTATCTGAGGCTAAGAAAAATTATGTTAGCTCCTCAACTATCTCGCTATAAAGACGTTTTAGCCGAATTAGTTCTCGGGCTTCTTCACTGACGGCTACCATTTCTGCCTCTGCTTTTGGCTTAGCCTGGAGATAGCACCATTAGCATACTTGCTGTTTGTTTGGTCTGTTTGGTCATCTCCTCCATAGTCGGCATCACTGTACCCTTGTAGGTATCTCTTATTGCCATTAGCTGTGTAGGTAATTCAAGTTCCATTGTATCTTTAAAATATCTAAAATTCCTCTTGTCTTGCATCCAGTCACTGTGAGTTGGTTTTCCGACGACTTACGCTATCTTTGGCCTAAATCCTACCATGAGGTACATTAGGGTTCCAACTGAGTAGAGAAGCAAAGAGAGTGAGCTCCCCAGCCGCTATGCGATCGAAAGAGATAGAAGTGTTTATATTCTTACGAGACGTAGGTGGGTAACATAGGTGAGTGACGTAACGTAGTGATGTATGATGTAACGTAGTAGATGAGTGATGTAACATAGTAACGCAATACGATTGAGTGAGACTATGTTACGTCACTTATCTACTATGTTACTTCATACGTCACTACGTCACGTCTCTCACCCACGTCAGCCACCTACGCCACGTAAGATTATGTACACATCTATATCTCTCGATCGCATTGCGGCATTGTGGCTGGGAACTTCTCTCTCTAACACATTCAATTCCCTATATATACCGCGATACATACTTTGCTTATCTACTAAACTGCTTCTTCATTTTGATATACCTTCCCTGGTTGGTGAGTTCCTCTGACAATAGGTGTAGACACAGGTTTACAGTTTTGCATTCCAAAGTACTCTAAAATGCGCTAATTCAGTGTTCCACTGACATTTAATTCTAACCAAACTGTTAACAAAAACATCAATACGTTTTTACTGTATAGAGAAATGCGGTGAAGACATCAAACTGACTTAGGCTTATTTGTTTACTCGCAGCAACACTTAGAAGAGCTCTTATAGTCCCCGATTTAGAAACAGGATTTAATGTTTGATTGTAGTCTTCGCTGTATTTCTGAGAGAATCCTTTTATCACCAGTCGGGCTTTGAATTTTTTAAAAGAACCATCTGGGTTTGTTTTAATTTTGTAAATCTATTTACTTTTTTCCCTGAGACAGATTTTACAGAATCCAAGTGCCATTATCTCTTTCTCCATTGTATCTTTCCACTTATGAATAAACGCTTTGGCTAGCTTCTTGAAAGTTTTGTGGTGGTTCTTTGTATTCTATAAATGTTGCTTCCTAAACTGTCTTTTTTCAATCAAAGATCTTTCTTTTGAACTTTCTACGTCTATATCTTCTTCATTGCTCAATATAATTGAGTTTTCATTGTTTTTGAAGCTACTAAGTTTAATTGTTCATCTTCCGCGCCTTCAAATTGTGTTTCTCTTCGGATCTTCGAGAATTCATCCATTCTTCGAAGATGACATATCTAGATCTTAAAAGTTGCTTAGTTTCTTTACGCCATACGCGATATTCATCATCGTTGTCATAGCCAACACATTTTACATTTAAACAATAAAGAAAACTAATGAACTTGGGGTGCCTTCGAGACTTTATCATCCTAAGCTAGATACATTTTTTTGTTTACTTCAAAAAGTAATCAAATTGCCTTTGAATTTAACTATTTTTGTTTGTAGCGATGTGACACCACCTTCCCTATCGAAGGAGTGTCTGAGATCTACTGGTGAAAATGCAGCATTTTCTCTTTTTAACACTGATTGACCAATCATCTTCGTAGTCGTGTCACTTGTGGAACATCTTTTATTGACTATGAAGTGACGCTCATAGATCACAAGATTGTGATGTAATCGTTTTGAAAGTTTCCAACGTTACTTATTTTTAGTATATACGTTATTAATTTTTAAGAAAAATAGAGTTGTAGATACTTTAAATCAAGAAGTTTTATTCTCAATTTAGGTACGGTACTTTCTAATTTAAAAACCCTCATACTTATTCTGCTCATGGGTGTTCTTAAAAAAATCTTAAGCGAAAGACGGTTAAGTATAGTTGTTAAAATCAAGATGGTATAATTTAAATTGTAATAAACGTCCTTTAATTTCTAAAACGTAGATTTTTAAAAACCCATTTCAAAAAAACAGGGCTTTTCCAGACGTTTTTTCCACTCCGTATAAAAAAACCTGAATAGAAGTTTTTCTGATAAAAAATTTCTTGTCAAGTTATTTTTAGTATGTTAGATAAGAAACTTATTATATGATTCTATCATAGACAGATTGCTTAACTAATAGGAATTTAATAATAAAAAAAATATTACTGCAGTAAATTGTACCTATATTGACGTTCAAGTTAATAAAGACTTTTTTCAATTATAATTCCATAAAATTATAGTCGATAACTCCAAAGCTATCTATAATTTTTCCTCTTTTTTATACTTTGTTATATAATCAAATGCTCTGAATCACATACCCACCTGTCAATTAAAATGTAAATAGATATGGAAATTCGAAAACAGTAGCAGAGTTATTAAATAATGTTTACGTTTTACTTAAGTGATCGGCGTGAAATTCGAAAAATTCCAATTTATTCAAAGTGCAAAATTATACTAGTCGATAAACCAATAATTTCTCACCTTTTTATTACGGAAATAATTACGGTTATAGTAGCGCCACATTCTGCAATATTGGTGTCTGATTATATTCTTGCATGGTAATGAGAGGGGCAAATAAAACTGTAATTTCTACCAAAACATTGTATGTGAATAGTACAAGCGGTAAAACAAAATTAAAAATTCCATATGTCAAGAAAAAATTGGATTAGTATCGAATGAAAAATAAAATTGGTGAAAAAAAGAGTAATAAATTAAATAGGAGATTACATTATGCTCGTCAATGCACTCAGATTGCTTACAGTCATTTTCTACTGTTGCTAGGTGATAGTTTTGAACAAAATAAGGTTAGTGGAAGAAAAAAGATAATAACAGGATAAATACGACAAAAGCAGTAGATCTACTGTTAGAGCCGTAGAACTGGCAACAGCTGGCACTGCCTTCATGTGCAAATGTGTATTTGTAAATCTATGACAAACGCCAAAGTCCCTTTGCGAATAAATATTTCTTTAACCCTAACAAATACGATGCTTTTCTCAAAAGAATCTAGAATAATATTTATTATTGTACTATTGTAAATAAATCATTTATTACTTATGTAATAAATAAATCTATTAATTATTATTTGACTATGAAAATAGCAATGCATTGATTTCACTCTTAAATTCGTTTAATTTATTTAAATTTTTTAATTCAAATAAATTATTATTTTGATTATTTCCTGTCAAATTATTTACTTCAAAGCCTGGCGATATTTAACTGAAATATTTAAAAATTCAAGTAAATTTCCAAGAAGTAACATATCATTTAAATTATTTGGCAGGTACAAATATATAAAAAATATACTTAACTGATATAACCTCAAATTTCCATGCTTAGTGTATAATTTATAATTACAGATACACTTTAACATCTAATTGTTCCTTGTATTTCGTCAAAATTTGCTAGTTGCGTGTTTTAATAAATAAATGTTCCTTGTCTACACTTATTTTCACTTTTCTTTTGGTTAAACACTGCATAGTCACAATATAAACAACAGGTGATTTCTTAGTAACCATTGACGGGCTCATATTGCATCGCCCTCTGGCGTGAAACAAACAAATCTCTGCAACCACAGAGTCGGACCTATCCCTGAGACAATTATAATTATCATGGACGATGATTGGTTTTATGAAATAAACATATTTTAATAATTCAATTTCAATTTCATAAAAATAAATTTAAAAGATAGTTGTAAATCAGTGATTTGATTTTAATTAACCTTTTTTTTTTTTGAGAAAGGCACCCAAACAACCGGGGCATAGCAGCTCTTGCTAGAATTTAACCATTCGCGTCGCTACAATAATATGGGGGCGATAAATAAAAGAAGGGGCGGTAAATAAAAGAAGGGATTTTATAAAAAGAAAAAACAGCTAAAACAACTATTGGAAATAAGAGGTCTGGATAAAACCGGAATCGAATTGACACTTTTGAACCGCCTAAAGGAAGCAATGGAAAAGGAGGGCAAGTTTTCAGAGATATGACTGCAGGAAAGAGCTAAACGTGGAGGAAAAGGAAACTACGCCTGCAACAGAAGAGGTGGAAACAAATGTAAAAGAAGTTTTATCAGCTGAAACACACACCAAGATGGAGATGAATGATCAATTTGTCATGTTGTTGGATTACATGCAAGGGGTGAAGCAAGAACAAAGAAATATGAATGAAGAACTGAAAGAAGAGCAAAAAAGAATGGGAACAAAAATAGAAGAAAAAGTAGAAGAACAAGATAGAAAAATGGATCAAAAATTCATAAAATTGACCAATAAATTGGAAGAACAAGCACAAGAAGTAGAGGAAATAAAAAAAAATCAAAACAAAATGAAGACGATAATAATGTAACAGAAGAGAAAATGTGAAACAGTAGAGAACAGTATGGAGGAAAAAGTGAAGAGGATAACAGAAGTTAATATTAAGAAGACAATTGAGATTCTAGAAAAGGAAAATAAGAAGTAATTAGAAAAAGTTAAGTCAAATACTATTAAACAAGGAAAAGAAATAGCAATGATCACAAAAGACTATGAAAGAGGACTACAAGAACAAAGAGAAGAAGCTGAGCTGGAAATCAATAAAGTTAAAAAGGAACTAATGGAAGAAATTAGAAAATTGAAACAACACAAAAATTCAGGAGATGATACAAGAATAAATTATATACAGCAAGAATTTACAAATAGAATGGGTATTTTCAGAGAAGAAAGGGATATAATGAGGATGGGAACTAATTTAGGAACAAATGAAAACACAGAAAATCATGAAGAACAAAGAAGAAATGAAAGGATGATAAAAAACAAGCTAGAGGAAATCCGAAATGAAATGAAGGAAGAACTGGAGAGAATTAGAAGACAGATGTCAAGTGGATCAGGACCAATCTACTATAATATTCAAAACGGATCAGAAGAGAGTGTCAAATTTGATGGAAATATCCGAAAGATCCATCCAAAATTTTTTATAAGGGTTCTTTATAATAAAATTAAAAATGTAATAAATGTTGATGATGTAAAGGATCTCATAAGGGGACACTTATTAGGACAAACGTTAACTTGGTTCTCAAGCATTGAAACTGAGCTCAACCACTTTAGAGGTTTTGAAGTAGCATTTTTAGATTTATATTATAGATTTTCCTTAAGTAGAATTACACTACAACTGCAGGTCCAGTTCTACAAAACAATATCTGCACCCAGGCTTGACAATATCAAAAATGTATGACATGTTCATAAACGAACTTGATACTAATGACGAAAAACCTTTTATCGACCTACACATAAGAGTCTTTCGATCTCTAAATTTATCGTTTCATAAAGCAGAGAAAGAGCAGTGCTATTTGTGTCTTAGTTTTGGAAGAGGATATGATAGTGTAAAAGAAAACTTAAGAGCTCGATTTGAGAAGCACGTTGCCGAAAAAGAAAAAATAAGAGAAATATAATAAAAAATTAAAACAGAAGCTTTAAATAACACTCATATTTTATGTGCTAGTTATGAGTGACAGCAAGTGATTTATTTGCCTCATTCAGAGGAAAACGCAATTTTTTACAAGAATTGATTAGCTAACTATAATCTTACAGTGTACAATATTGCATGAAAGGAATGTTTTTGCTATCTCTGGAATGAAGTACAATGCCAACGAGGTGCTGCTGAAATAAGATTCTGCATCGATAAAGCACTTACTGTTTACGACTCTAAAAATGGGGTTGAATCGGTTGCTCTTTTTTCAGAGGGTTGCAGCGGTCAAAATAAAAATTCATTTACTGCAACCATGCTTCTGTATACGGTAGCAAACTCTAGAAACAGAGGAGATATCGCTTAGATTTTCTGAGTCATTTTATGGGTAGAATGAGGGAAATTCTGCACATAGTGCTATTTCAACTGCACTAACAACCGCAGGTGATATTTTTGTACCATCACAGCTTCACCCCATTATGCGTCTTGCCCGAAGAAAATAACCATACAAAGTAATACCTCTAGAGTATCATGAGTTTATAGGTTTCAAGAAACTATCTAGAGATCAATGAATATTGTCAGTAAGAACATCGGAGTCTGGAAAGTCCATAAAATGGACATATATTATTAAATTAAAGATAAAGAATTCTGATCCATTCAAAATATTTTTCAAAAATAGTCACCTTCAAGAACACTTCGATTAGCTTACACTTAAAAGATTACAAACTGATTTATTTGAAGTTAATTTAGAGCCTCTAAATCGAGAACTTCAAAAATTACAGAATGTTTGATTAATTTATTCGTATTATTTATATTTGTTTGCCTATAATGGATTTGTATCTAGTTTTGTATGTTTGTTGTTGATTTTAATTAAAATTGTGGTTAATTTTTTAATAAATTTATTGTTTATTAAATTTTTCTGCACTATAGTATATCCTAATGAACTGACGTAACTCAGTTATTTGTCGTTACGCATTGGTTTTTCAGTTTCACAAAGTGACGTATCTCATTGTCGGTCATTTTAACAAAAATCAAACAAGTTTTTTGGCGAAAATGATGTATAGACATGTACTTGACACATTAATCTGCTAGTATAACAAAAATTAGAATTTAGATTGTTATTGTTACTTGTTGCTATTTGGTTCAACTTTATAAAAATCTTTAAAACGCTCTCCTGTAAAGTTGTGAAAATCGAGTTACGCCACTTAGTGAAATTAACGATGAAGTGACGGTCATCTAACTGACAAATATATTTCATTATTATTTATTTAGTAAAATCCAATCAGATTATATTGGCATTTTTGTTATAAATTCTCCATTTAAAGGAACATACATAATTTAACTTACTAAGTAGGTACTGGGTCTTCAACAATACCGAAAACCCACGTGACCAAATCGTCATGACAGCGATTGGTGAAAATAAAAGTAAAAATCCCTAGATGTGAGCCAGTGCCGTAGGTATTTTATTACAAAATAGATCTTCTTTTTTATGGTCTGCAACTACGAGAACAAAATTCAGTTAGGTAACTGTTAGAATTACAACACAAAATCATAATATTAATTAGAGGTGTTTTACATTATTGTATTTTAATGTTAGAATTCGATATTTTAATTACATTTAGTCAAATGCAATAATCTTATTTTTAAAATTACGATATAATTAATATAACCTTAAAAACTGAGCTATTTATATTTAACGAAAAGAATAATAAACTGAAATATGGTTCGTACTAGTTATTACAAAAACAACCTTTACCCGAACAGGGTGCAACAAAGTTATGAACATAAAATATTATGAATTAAGATATGAATAAAATTAAAAATTATTTACTTTAGATCGACTCGTAAGATATTTAGCTACAGCTGAAACTTTAAAAAATTTAAAACTTTCTGGAATTGTACCTGGGCAATGGGAAGTAATAAACAAATAATTTTTTAAGTTTGTTCTATTATTTATTTGTTACAGGGTTTAAACCATTTACGAAATACTTTATGTTACTAATATGTACCTATACAAAACAATATTAATATTATTAATGTAACGAGAACATATTTGTTTTACCTTACAGCTCTCACTTTAAATTATAAAGGCAGACCAACTATTTTATTTAAAAGGATATTGAGTAGTAATCGGTGGTGCACAAACTATACTAATTCACAGTACCTATCTGTTCAAAATCTTTACCACCAGCTTTAATACAAGCATTAATCGTTCTTTTTTTGAACACATTATGCAGTTTCTTCTCAGTTATATTGCGTATTTCATTTAATATAGGTGCTCCAGTTTATAAACGTCACATAAACGATTTTGAATTGAGCGATCAGTAATATTCCATAGATAGGTTTAACAAAATTAAGGTAAAATGATTGTTGCAGTAACGAAACTTTATAGGGGATGCATTATCAGAAATTTTTTCAATACTTTATGGCTAGTTCGTAGCAACAAACCTAAAAAATGTGTTTTGAATTTTACTCGCCAGTCAGTCTTTAAAACACCGTTCATACCTGTTTGAGGTGCTGTTTTTTTTACTAATTTATTGGGAATTTGCACCATGTTAATTTGCACATCTTCAACAGCTTTTGTTATTACTGTGGGCCTTTCAGAGCTTTTTCCTTTTTTATAATTTTGAACAAGTATTTGTTAATGACGACAAAAAAGAATCACATTCCATTTATTCACCTAGAAAATGTTCCTCAAATTTTCGAATACAATAACGAATATAAAATAATTTTGTTTCTGTGTAACATTACCTGAAATAAATTATATACAGTCATTAACTTTTACGAGTTACAGTAAATAAATTTGTACTTACCAACAAAAAAGGATTAAGCCACCAATAATCTCTATAGAAAAACTAATTGCTTTATTAATATTAAATGAAAAATGGAATAAAGGTATTTATAAAATGTAAACAAATATAATATAAATATAGTCAGTCCCCAAATGAACGCCAGTGACATTTCTGACAGGACTGACAGTTCAGTTTAGTTACTTTTACGTCAAATCAGGCCCTTTCGATGGGTTTTTAATGGTTATCAGATCACGTGGGTTTCGGGTATTGTTGAAGACCTGGTATCACGGTAATTTATTAAATTAATTAAAATATTCAAATTTTCAATTAATATAAATAATTGTGAGAATAAAAAGCAAAGGATATACCATGTATAGTGTCAAAATTTGACCTCTTAACCTTATCTCCGCCTCTTCAATCGACCGATAGCCTTTCACAAACTAGTTTTACCGACCAGTAGTAGTCGATCTCACAATTCTGAGTAATGAATTTTTAACAGTAACCTCTAATACTACATTAACTTGGTATTAAAACAAACAAACTGGATAACATCCAATTTTATATTTAAAGTATTTAATAAATATTCATCAAAAAGCATTTAAAATTGAAATTATCAGTGTTCATTCATAACTGCTGGTACTCAAACTCATTCATCTTGTCTTGAGAAAAGAATAGGTAGGTATTTATTATCCCGGAGTCGTTACTTTTACTATCACTAGCCTCACAAATTCAATGTGCTGTGTACCGGCTATTTATGTAAATTTCATTTATTTGTTGAACATAATGATGAAGCAGTTATATTCGAGATCACTTATACCTTTTGGTCTCGTTTTGGTTGGAATATATTATAGTGCGTGGAGCTTTTTTAGTGGGCATACAGTTAGTATTTCTGGTGGATATGGAAATGAGGTCCGAGCACATGCCATTAATGAAAACATATGTGTTGGATACTTGAAGACAGACTTCTGGTAGTTTGATTGATAAAATTCTGAATGCTAGACGGTGATAATCTAGACATGTTTAAAAAACACTCAACGTAATAATTAGAAACTATTGAATCGACAAGTTCTTGTATGGTAGCTATTTAAAATTTTTGATAACTAGGTTAAATGA